TTCCTTTTTAAGGGGAATTTTGGGAAAGCTGCGTGGAAAAAAATATGCCTGTTTCAGTTTTAATCAGGATTATCAGATACAAAGGGCGATGCTGCCAAGATAAATGGCACAGGAGGTTCCAGGACTGGTTCTAAAGCAAACACTCTGCAGGGTCTGGGTACCGGTGAAACGCTCCAGCGGCGCCGCTGCCGCCGCACAAAGGAGTTCTGAAAAGCGCTGACAGGAACAGCAAGAAAGGCTGAACTGGTACAATGAACTCCCTGATCTGATGGGCACTGCACACGCTGAAAGAAATAATGCCTTTCCCACCATGGCAACAAGCTGATCCCACTCCATGAGCTCATGGTCAGCGGGCTGAGCCCCAGGCAAAGGGATGGCCCACACACTGCTCAGGGACTCTGGACCACAGGAATCTCCATCCCAGAGCCTGCCAGCCCCTTCCCAGCTCAGCAGACTGCTCCAGGTCAGCCACGGGAAGAGAAGAAGGATCACTGTCTGTGGACACCTCGTAAGGAGATCCTGACTTTAGAAGTGAGAACAGGAACATTCTTCCCATCACCAACTCCACCAAGCACTCCGGAATTCTCCCCACGGGAATTCCCCACCATCCTGCTCTGAGGACAGAGCCAGACCAGCCCCAGCTGGCCGAAGAAACCCCTTCCCAAGCTGACCCATCCCCTTTTTCAGGGTTAGTTGCAGAATGCAATGAGAATTCTCGTTTTGTTTCACTGCAGTTGGCAAATAATCAGCTCTTCCCTGACAGTTTAACCCATTTCCCAGAATTAAAATGGAAAGGGTGGAATGCAGCTCAGATATCAACTGACCAGGAAAACATCGTCAGGAAAGCTCCATCAAATTCAGGCTCCTCCTTATCAATAGGATCATACAGAAATAGCAGACAGCTTATACACAGTGCAGGGAAATTTGTTGTTATTGGTAGAAATAATGTTGGTTTTGGCCAGCACTGAAGCCAAAAAAGGTGATATTATCAATTTACTGGGTTGCCACTGCACCTGCAATTTCATGTGTATTAAATTACACCAAAAAAGAGGTTGGTCTTGTTAATTCTGCATCCCCACATTCTGCTTGAAAGGATAAATGATGAGCAAAGGTTGTAACCTCAGACTCTGCTCAGCCTCTATGGGAACATCTTAATTACCTTTTGTTTCAGATGTGCCTTCTGGCCTAAATTATGTGCATAATTAAGACTAGCAATAACCATCTGTTTGCCAGTGATTCTAAACAAAAAAGATTATATAAATAAAGGATCATTTAGATTCACGTATATTTAGATGTAGTTGGACTTATAGTAAGAAAAAAGAAAAACTGGAGGGGAAAAAAGGAAAAAGTGCCCAGGAGTTTAACTTTGTTCCGTATCCAGACTCTGAATTCCTTTTATTTTAATATCAGAATCAAACTGAGTTGCCCCCTGAGCTATTTACACTCTGTGGCACAGTTGCCCTCTAAGTTTGAGATTGGAATCCAAAGGTTTTGGCAAGGGACCATTAGAAAATCTGAGAATTAAACATTCAGGAATGTGACCTACCTTGGGCAAAAGATGCTTCTGTTGTAAAGTGAAAACTCTTCCTCCCCTTTGGCAGGTGGAAGGAAATTTCTGAGATAAGGATAAACACTCTGCTTCCCTCATTTCAACCCCTGGGTTTCTCCTCTTTCCTGGCGCCACAGGCAGGAGTAACTGGATAATATTTACTGGGGAAGCAGCTGACAACTTATTGCACATTGTTCAGGAATAGGAGCAGGACAAAGAATTCTGCTGGAGGACTGTGCACAACTGAGAGTCAGAGTCTTTTTTCTTAATAACGAAAGGTTGCAACCTCCAACTCAGTAAAATATTGATTTTTGTCTAAGGTCTTGGAAAACACTTCATTTAATTAAGAGAGTAATCAATGATATGCAGAGAATCCACCTTCAACAGGCAGCTGATCTTACCAAAAAAATGCAATTCTTACCGAAGAACGAGAGAACAAACCAGTCCTCTCTTGTCCTGGAAAGTTCCAACTGTTCTCTCCTGGTACTTCACATTGGCAGCTGCAAATGAAAAGACAATACTTTAAAATACGAACCTTTATTTGAAAAAGCCACTTCTGAAACAGCAGCTGAGACAGGAGACTCCTCCGTTGGGTTTGGCTTAATTAAAGAAAAGGAGAAAGTTTAACTGCTGTGTAAGTTGTAACTACAACTTAACATGCCCAAAGAGGGAATTCCATGACCAGATTCCAATGGATACACGTGTGCTGGATGGGGCCTCTGTTCTGGTAAGGAGCAGTTCCAAAATCGTGGCCACAAAGCCATTCAGATTTTTTGCTTTTTTTAACTAGTGGACAAAAATTGAAATTATTCAGAAACACGAGCTACAGGAAAGCGCTTTTACAGAAGGTCCAAGTGGGTTCATATTGATCTTCAAAAGTGGTTTTTAATTTCACACTGAAATAAGCATTTTTCCCCCCAAGAAAGCAGATGAAGACCCCAGAGAGGGGTTGTTGCTTTGGGCCAGTGGTGCGAAATCCAAGGGGAACAGCAATGCTCCTGAGACCCCTCTTCCCAAGCCCTATCTTTTGGACTTCCCAAGTGCTGCACAAACAGTCATTGCCTCAAAAGTAAATATAAATATGCCACAAATACGTATTTGTCGAAACAAACACATGGAGAAAGGATCTGAAGTGCTTCATTCCTCCAGTCCTGCAGCAGGTATTCCCAGATGTCTCCTCCGGCTCTGGAATGACTGCTGGGACACAAAGTTTCACACTAGAACACCCAAACCCTGCCATTCAGGTCCCAGACTGAACCCAACCGTTCCTAAAGCACACAAGCAGCCAAACTGATGGGACACCACTCCCTTGTATCCAGGAGATTTGCTCTTCCCAGTGACTTGGCCTCTCTCCCAACAGCACTCTGCCTCTGGATGTGGCTGGAAAGTCCAGCTCCTACACTATATAATCCTGCTGCTGGAAATAGTTTGCCTGTGCTTTGATGTGCCACAACTACTGATAATTTTCACCTTCTCATCCATTAAATAAAATAAATTTCTGTTTTGCATTCGTTGCATCCTTTAGTTTACGGCTTGTGACGGGGAAACTAAGAAATAAAAAGAGGAGACAATTTTAGGACTGACGCAGTAGAAAGAAATAGTTTAAGAGGTTGTGCATTAAAAATTGTGCATTTAAAATAGTTGTGCCTCTGGTCCAGCATTGCTGGGTGAGGGAGGGGATTGTCCTGCTCTGCTCTTCCCTGGTGCAGCCTCACCTCAAGTCCTGGGGGCAGTTTGGGGCACCACAATATAAGAAAGATCTAAAGCTTAGATCTCAGGTGCACCAAAAGAAATTCTCCCATTGCACACGGTGTTCCCACTCTGGGGAATCTCATGGGTCTGCATTCAGCCAGTATTTACACAAACAGTGACCTGAGGATGCTGTGCTTTAACAGAAAGGGCCTGTGTCGATGCCAACTGTCCAAACCCTCAGCTAAACTTCAATTTACCATTTTATAAAACAGTTTCTAAAAGCAACATTTGGTTACCTGCAACAGAGCTCAACTTTGTTTGTATTTTTTTTTTAAATCCCTCTCGACCAACAAGCCAAACACCAATTCCAGTAACTTTTCTGGGTCAATAATCAACCCCAGCCCCCCAAGGGGAATGGACACAGTTTTACTTTGAGGTACCAACTTGATCGGGCGACAAGTTCAACTTCACAGCTGCCTGCTGGTACAAAGTCACCTTTGAGGGGAATATGGAGCAAGTTTATTAAACACCAAAAAAAAGAGCTCTGGAGGCAAACTACACAACTCCAGAATGACTCTTCAGAGACAGTTTTCTGGCCACGTATTTGCTTTTCAAAAGGCAAGACACACATTTCGAGTCGCAGGAGCTGGACTGATTTTCTGTGGCTTAGGTCCAAGAGAAGAGAAAAAAAAAACAAACCTTCACAAAATCTGCAACAGGCTTTTTATTGATTTTAATGAGGTTTGGAAGAAGCCACCAAATCTCCAGAGTTTTGTCGAGGAGTTTAAAAACAGGGGGAGAAGGTTCCAATGTAAGCGTTAATAATTCCACCCAATTCCTGCCAGCGAACACCCCCCCAGCGCTCATCAGCATTCCTGCTGCAGGGCTGCTGGGCTCAGATAAGCACCTCCAGTGTTATCACTTCCTAAGGCAACAACTTGTGCCAAAAGAAGGGGAAAAAGCTGCCTGTAAAAAGAAATGTCGCAGTGAGTTGCACTGTCCTCTCCCAAACGCTAATTCCTGACGGGGTGACTTTAATTAACACAGCCAAGCACATCCCAGGGTGCTGCCCCTCGGAAGCACCTCGGCTGTTTGAGCCACAAGGAATGGATTCAGCACCATTGGGAAAGCCAAGGGTAGGAGATGGAAAAGGGAACAGGACCCTTTCAGTAAATCCTATAAAGTCAAGCGTGTCTGGTAAGGAACTGGCTCTGCACCACCTTTACTGGACTGTCCCGTTCTCACGGCTGGTTGGGTTTATCCCAGAATGGTTTGGGCTGGAAGGGACATTAAAGTTCATTCCATTCCATCCCACTGCCATGGGCAGGGACACCTCCCACTAGCCCAGGTGGCTCCAAGCCCCCTCCAACCTGGCGTTGGACACTTCCAGGGATCCAGGGGCAGCCACAGCTGCTCTGGGCAACCTGGGCCAGGGCCTCCCCACCCTCACAGCCAACAATTCCTTCCCAAAATCCCATCTATCCCTGCCCTCTGGCAGTGGGAAGCCATTTCCCTGTGTCCTGTCCCTCCATGCCTTGTCCCCAGTCCCTCTCCAGCTCTCCTGGAGCCCCTTTAGGCCCTGCCAGGGGCTCTCAGCTCTCCCTGGAGCCTTCTCTTGTCCAGGTGAACCCCCCCAGCTCTCCCAGCCTGGCTCCAGAGCAGAGGGGCTCCAGCCCTGGCAGCATCTCCGGGGCCTCCTCTGGACTCTCTCCAGCAGCTCCACGTCCTCCCTGTGCTGTTCCCCAGGGCTGGAGGTGGGGTCTCACCTGAGGGGACAGTGGGGGTCAATCCCAACCCCTGGTTTCAGATCATCTCAGTTCAGGTGCTCAAGGCCATCCCGTCACTGCCCCACTCACACCTGCCAGCAGTGACTCTGCCCCAGGGCCCCAGTGCTGAAGGGGGTGGGAACAGGAGCATTTGAACTTAAGCTTTTCCTTTGAACCACCTTCTTCAGATCCTGCTCCACTGACTATTTTGGGAACTCGGGCATGAGGTGAACACTTTTCCCAGCACACAGCTCTCACCTCTGTTGTTTTTTCATGGAAGATGCTATGGAGAAGCAGAGCAGCTGCACTGTATATCAATCACACTGTAACAGTGAAATACAAGTAAAAATACAATTGTGGGGGGAAACTCCAAATAATGGTTTCCAACTTGTAGAACTTTTATCCCTGGAGGTATTTCAGCCCTTGGAATTCCAAGTCCTTAAGCAATCCAATCCAACATCAAAGTCAGTCCTACTCTGAGCAGTGCTGGTCTACAGGAACTCCAAAATCTAAATTACATGAGCCTCTGACAATGTTTTTCTTGACATTTATTTAAGTAAAACATTGGCAAATAGCTAGGAAAAGCACTCTGGAGAAGTTCTAATAAACATGTTTGTTTAATTAGGTGATGGGGAACTTGCCTCTTCAGTTCCTTCGCTGAAAGGCTCTATCTACCCAGAGCAGGAGAGGGATGGTCTGATAAGCAGAAAGTGAAATGGCACAAGGGAAAAAGAGCTTTGGAAAACAAACAAATCCAGATTTTCTTTAGCTGCAAGCTGCCCTCATAAGGATGTAAACAAACACAGCCAAGTGCAGCGTTTTTCCTGGTGACTGTTCTGCAGGTGTATTTTCCCTCCCTTTGCCGAAAGGTGCCGTTCCCAGCCCGGTTATGCCACCCCACGTCCCAGCCCGATATTACCAAGTGTGGGTTTTGGTGAGAAGTTCTCCATTCCTGTTTACATTTCTAACTTCCCAATATCACTGCTCCCACATCCCCGACCAGTGCCGTGGCAGAACCTCCTCCTGCACCCGATTATCACACACTCACCATTGATTTCATCACCTCCAGCTCAGCTCAAGCTCAAGTATTGGCCGTATGTTGTTCTTCTCCTCCTCTCTCCTTCTGTCCTTCCTAGTGGATTTTAGCTTGCTTTCCCAACTATTTTTACGCTCTCCTGAGCGTGCTCAGGAACAGGAACACAGTGCTACTATCAGCTGCCCACCAGCTGGGGTGAGCCAGCAGCTTGTGGCCGAGCTGGAAACCACAGCGGGATGAGAGCACTGGGAACGCTCCGGGGGCTGGATGGGGCAAGGCCACTCCTCAAGAGAAAGTCTGAAAACATGTACGTGGAGAAGCAGGAATGCTGATCTTCAGGGAGGCATTTGCTGGTCTCTATGGCCACGTGTCACAGAACTGTCAAGGTTAGAAAAGCCCCCTGAGATCACTCAGTCCAACCATCAGCTCAGCACCACTGTGTTCACACCAACCCGTGTCCCCAGGTGCCACATCCATGTTTTTTGAACATTTCCAGGGATGGGGACTCCACTACTGCCCTGGGCAGCCTGTGCCAGTGCCTGACCACCCTTTCCATGAAGAAATTCTCTCTAATATCTAACCTAAACCTCCCCTGGCACAGCTGGAGGCCATTCCCTCTCCTCCTGTCCCTTGTTCCCTGGGAGCAGAGCCCAACCCCCCCCAGCTCCTATCAGGGAGTTGGAGAGAGGGAGAAGGTCCCCTCTGAGCCTCCTTTTCTCCAGGCTGAACAACCCCACTTCCCTCTGTGTTCCCTATCACACACTTCCCTAGATTAAGCTATATAAGGAACTCCCAGTAGGAAAGCAGCTGGATATAAAGCTGTGTGCACAACCCCACCTGACAGAGAGCAGAGAGCAACAGCCACACTGAACATCCCACAGCACAGATGGGAGCTGCCCTCCATCAGAATATCCTAGAAAGGTCTCATTCCATCTTCTGTTCTACCTCTGCTTTTATGAGTGAAGAATAAAATTAATTATAAGAGTCCAAAGCATCAAAAAAGTTTTGTCAACATCTGTCACTGCACTGACTCATCCCCCAATGGCAGGTTGGCGTGTTGGCTTCCTTCATCTTCCCACTCGGAAGAGGCATTAATCTGCTTTTAAAGCACTTTGATTAAGCTGATTATCTTTGCATATTTGTTAAAGATCACTTCTTACCCTCTTGCAGAAGGCAACAGTTCAGAGTTAAAACAAAAAAAAAAGCCTGAGCAGAAAGGAGAGCTTGAAATGGCAGGAGGAGGCAAGGCAGAGAGAGGCACTGCTGAGACCCTGGGAGTCTGACAGCAAAGGGTACAGAGAAATTTGGTCTTGCATTAAGAAAGGTCCATTTTCCATGACTGATGTAAAGAATAAAAATCAGTAGAACCTTAGGTGAGATAACAGTAATAATTATTCCAAAAATAAAAGGTTTTTCTCAGGAAAGAGTGTTTCTGAATAAAAGATTCTCTATCAATATTCTCCCTCACTGACCTCAAAACAACCCAGGTCAAAAGACCACAGCAAGTTTGAAACCAAAATCCAGAGAAAATGTCACTTTTTCTCACAACATTTCAGGCTTTCTTCTCTTTTAATTCTTTTTTTAGTTTGGATACAACTCTGAGATCCAAAGGCTGCAATTATTCATATATAAGCCAGGATACAATTTACCCATCAGAGATCTTCTGCATCATAATTTTCCTTTTATTTCAATTATTCCATATTCCTCTGTTTTCTGTGCATGACAGACAAGGGGCAGCTACCAAGAAGGACCAACAAGCTGCACAGACGGGTGTGAACTGTGCAGAGACCTGGAAGATGGGATCTGGGAGTCATATGAGAGGACACAGAACTGAGCAGGGCCTGAGCTGGTGGAAACCCAGTGGACTTGTGGTGGTTCCAAGGTGGAAAGGTGACCAGGGAGGGGGCATTTTGTCACCAGGTAACCAAAGAGCCATGAAATGCAGGGCAACATTAGAGCAGAGTTATGAAACAAAGAGGAAGGCTGAGGCCAGGCAGCAGCAGTTTGGAGAAAGAAGGGAATCATTTGCTCCTCACAGTCCCCACTTTTTTCCATTAAGCCCCTCACAGCCTGTTTGCCACGGTCACACGCCCTCCTGGAAGAAAGGGAACAACCAACCAGGGAGAACTGGCTGTTAAATCAAAGTCTCCAAGGTTTTACTCATCCTCCCAAAACACCTCTTGATCCCCCTTCCCTCCTGGAGTCACATCTTGCTTTAGCTCAGTCCTTGCTGTAACTGGCTGGCACTGGGAAGGGGCAGCAGCTGCTCCCAGGGAATTCCACACCCCCCAGCAGGACAGGCCCTCACCTGCTGGGTTTACTGACACCCAATGAACACCAGAGACACCTACAAGTCATTAAAAAAAAGGAGAAAGTTTGAAAATAGGAAAAAGCAAACGTGATTTGAAGTCTCCTTTGGAATTTCAAGATACAATCCCAGGAGAGTTTTCCTCCCCACTGAACTACTTCAGAACAACACACACAGAGTCACAGTGATCACCTCCTCAGTGTGTAAGTCAACCTCATTTTCACCACACTTTTTCTGCCAGAAGCCTTTGAAAATCTCTCTAACAAAACACCACTCGATGCTTTTGTCATAAGACAACTTTACAGAAATACCAAATACCTGTTACATGTAATCTATTAATGCTTTGAGAAATAAAGTTATCACAAGGTGTCCCTAACAGGGAGTTCAGTCCCCCCCAGAGGCCCAGCAATCACAGAATCCCAGAATGGTTTGGGACTCCAATCCCACCCCCTGCCATGGGCAGGGACACCTCCCACTAGCCCAGGTTGCTCCAAGCCCATCCAGCCTGGCCTTGGACACTCCCAGGGATCCAGGGGCAGCCACAGCTTCTCTGGGCAACCTGTGCCAGGGCCTCCCCACCCTCACAGCCAACAATTCCTTCCTAATATCCCATCTACCCCTCCCTCTGGCAGTGGGAAGCCACTCCCCTTGTCCTGTCACTCCATACTCTTGGAATAACCCTTCTCCAGAGCTCTCTGCTGCACAGCCTGGAACAGGCAGGTCACAAAATCCGTTTGTGTTATCAAGGCCTGCAAGGAGACATCACTTTCTCTGCTTGCACACCTTGCACAGTGTAATTACGGGTAAAGCTTTAATCCATTAATTCCTAAATTGCATTGAAAACACCTGCTGTGCCGAGGAGGCCCCGTGGGTAAGATGCACACCCACCTTCACCACCTTCATCGAGGAACACAGGGGCACTGGGGTCACATGTTCAGTGATCTCACTGGATCACACGAGCGGGAAAGTCGATATTTCAAACTGCCCAACACCAGCACTCGGTAAAATTGTGGCACATGGCAAAAATGGCTGTTTTAATGTGGCCCTTAAGGTGGGTTTGCTTTCAAACAGGCTGCACTGGTATTCCCTGGAGCACGGTGAGCCAGCAGGAAGGGTACTGCTCCCATACTCCTCCTAACAAAACACTCCCCTGCCTTATCTTCCACCAGCTCTGGCATTTCAGACCCCCCATGGCAGAATCCAACTCCTCAACACAAAACCCAGAGAGTACAGTGTGGGAGCACCACCCCACAGTGCTGTAGCTGTTGTCTGCTCCCAGAGCAGCACAGCCTGAAAAACTGCAGGACATTTCAGATTTACAGAATTTGAGGCAGCTTAAAAACCTCTTTGACTCCTGCAGAAATGGCATTTCCTTACAGAACTAATCAATTCACTCGCTCACCCCTCAGCCTGCTTAATGCCTTGAGAAATATATAAGTAGTTGAAGTTTAAAAGGCAGAGTTCACAGTTCAAACACCAAGTACCCTCCCAAAGCCCTGCTGTGCATTAGAACCATCGAGCACAGCACTGCATCCTGTACTGCCAGGAACTGAAGGTGTCTTTAGGAGTAATTCACATATTTCTGCCAGAATCTGTGAACTGGAGGATGAAGAGCTCTTCCTTCCAAAGCCTCTTCAATTCCCACGGCAGGGGACAGGTATGTCTGATCACAGCATATTTCACAGCACAAAACAGTAAGTAAACTCAATACAAGAAAAGCACTGAGTTCAGGCATTTCTTCACTAGTTCATGCAAAACAAGCCTGGTAACTCAATCAAGGAACCATGTTGGAAGAGCTGACCTAAGCTGAGAGCCCTTTTTATGAACTGACCCCCTAAATTCCACATTTCAGGAGCTAATCGAGGATCAAACCAGCTTTTCCAGGCTCACAACAGCTGGTTTCTAGAGAGCAGTCCAAATACTTGTTTGGGCATCATCCACAACGCTGCCAAGACATCAACAACACTCAGCATTCAACCAGACACTGTTGTGTAAATACTGCAAGGCAAAAGCCAAATGCTGAGGAGATAAAGCCACGTGTGCCTGGGCACGATAAGGAGACCTGCAAGGGCAGGGTAAGGAACACCAGCAGCTCCAGTGACTGCACTGAGTTTTCTGCTGGGTCCTGTTTAGACAGAGAGTTCCAGGTCAGAGCCAGACAAGATTTACCAGAACAGGTTCCTGCCCTCCTTGCACTGGAGCAGAAACCCTTTCCAGAGAGAAAATCAGGCTGTTCCACCAACCCAGTGCCAGCTCCAGAGGCCCCAAACTTCCAGCAGTTTGCTGTGTTCCTAGTCAAGCCACCTCCAGGACAGCAGCTCCCTGCAGGTATTAAGACACACAGGACTTGGATACCCTTCCCAGTTAAGGATTCCTGCATTTAGATCTCAAGGGACAAACTGGTTTGGATAATCTACCAGCACCCTGCCTCCAAGAAACCTGCTGCTTCACGGCCTTTCTCTGGACAGATGATTCACAGGACTATGGAAGGGGTTGGGTTGGAAGGGACCTTAAAGCTCATCCCATTCCACCCCCTGTCATGGGCAGGGGCACCTTCCACCAGCCCAGGCTGCTCCAAGTTCCACCCACCTTGGCCTTTTACACCTCAATTCACTACAGCTAAAAGAAAAAGCAGGAAAAGCAAATATCTTTTCCTCCTACAGTTAAATCAGCTCAGTATCTTCCAAGTATTAAGACAGCTGTTTATTGCTATCTTTTTCCACTCGTGGAAAGTCATAGTTACTTTCAGAACCAGGAAGGGTAACTGGCAAAATACTACTTTCCATTTGCAAGCTGCACTGAAGCAAGACCTGGGGATGGAGCTTCACAACTGAAATAAAAGGCAAGCAAAAAACAGTCTTAAAGAGCATCTGCCTACAATCAAAGGAGGGAAAGGGACACGGGGCTGTCTGTGTATCCAACTGCAGCGAGGAGCAGTGAGAGCGAAGCTCAGCGGGAGCCTCAGCACTTACAGGGACTGAAGCAGCCCTTTGATGTGGGAGGCAGGAGGCACCCCAGGAGCTCCGACAATGCCTAAAGAAACGTTTTAATGGGCTTCAATTGCCGTGAGTGCTTTGGGAGATCAATTACCCACGTGAGCAGGATCTGCCGGGAAGAGCCGAGCTCTTCAATAGACTTGGGAATTTTGTCACGCTGCAAAATGTCTCCCAAGACTGCCGTGGTTCAGAACCAGTGGGCTCTAGAATGCACATTTCTCTAATTTTATTTATCTTTAAGCCCAGTAGTCCTCCAGCCACGCAATGTCAGATGCTATGCAATGTTCAAATCTTGGACGTGTCAAAGAACAGCTACAATTTCTAAAGTCCTGCTTCCAGACTGCCCAGGGAGGCCGAGTTCAGCCACAACTCCCCAAAATCTTTTCTCCATAACAACTTCCACAATACTCACAGTATACAGCCTTCTTCACATACACTGAAGTTGCACAGCCCTTCAGAGCCAGGAAAGAATTTACTTGGATTAACAAATATGCTTATTCTAAAAAACTAAACAGCACGAAGCCAAAGTTAAATATATTTAGGCATTTCAGAGGCACCAAAGAAGGTGCTGTGGTTGCTTAAGACACGTATGTGTATCAAAACACAGTCTCAGCTGGAATTGAAATGAA